AAAAGGGTCTGTGTAAGAAATGTCATAAAGCAGTCATGATGACGTGTCACCAAACACCACCATCCTACCCCCGTTGCCCCCTCCAGCTTAAGAAGAAGAAAAAAACTCTCCCACTTCCTCTTTCCTTTGTATTGCGCCAATCACCCAGGCCCACCTCTGACCCACTATGACTGAGCTGCGGTGATTGATTAGCACCACCAGGAATATTTATCCAGGCTGATCTAGTAGGAAGAACCCCCTGTCACTCTGTTTGTCGAGCAGCTGTCCATCTTGTTTATTGTACACACAAACACACACTCACAAACCAGAAGCCCCTTTTCTAGTCGGTAAAATGATGCTTTGATAGTTTTTTTTTTCCCCATTACAGTTTGTCTTTGCTGTGAACCCATGGGTTACTTTGTCTCAGAAAGATAGTGTTGGTCTGTTGTTTCACTGAAAAGCCCATTTGTTTGCCCTAATGTGTGCTAGGCTTTATCCATGCTATCAGGAGGCAGGGCTACTTACAGTGGAGAAGATTGCTAGCAGATGGGTCTTTGTTTGTGACCAGAAGTTACCAACTGGGCTCTTATCTGATCAAGGGGCCACAACAAAACAGAGGCAGCAGAATTAGAATTGAAAGGGCAGCATGTCTACGTTGCTGTTCAGTACTGTAGGGGAAATTACAGTGGGTGAGTTTATCCTTCAACAAGTCAACAATTTCTGCTGTTATTAGACATGAGAGTGTTTTTAATATTTATATTTTATAAGTATTGTGTTGGTGCACCCAGCAACTTACAAATTTCCACCTACACCAGTTTCCTCTTTCTATTTTACAAAAACCCAAAGATTATTTATGACTCAAAAATGATCCCCGTTGAGTCACAAGTAGAGTACACAGCGTCCCAGTGGCATCCATTTGTCATCGAGCCTTTTTGTTGTTGACATTTTCCAGCGTTTGAAACCTGTTTCCCACCAGATCACAGTGTGTTTTAGTCACTAACCGTTATGTATTCGATTTTCTGCCCTCTCATGTTTACGGACTCCTCCTTCTCAAAGTCTTCCTCTTGTGCTGTAGTGTAGCTTCTGAACAGGAGATGGGGCCAAAACTGACACGGGCCAAGACTCTTGACAATTCTTTTCAAAACTTGTCGATCCTACTTTAAAGTAAAGGAATGAAAATGTTCAAAAGTGTTAAAACGCCTTTGGTGCTTAGAGGATCGTGTAAGAAGCCTTTAATGTTATAAAATAAATTCCTTCTGTGGCTGGTAACAGTCGCATGTTTTATGTGACACAGAATACATTTTGGCACATAAAAATGAGCTTAGGGTGGAAGGAGTAGTGTACTTGTTATATTATTTAAAAGCATGTAATGATGATGCTTTGTGCACCGTTGTCTCTATAAATTAATGTAACTGTTATGCCTAGAGTTTTTTGATTTGGCCCAAAAAGTCACACCACATGATGTCTGGCACTGGAAACGTGAGGACACATGAATCTCTGTGCTCTTGTAGTACCGTAACTGACCTTATAAATGTGTAACTTTTTATTCATTCATAATTGTAGCTATCTGTGGTCCTTTCTAATCCAAGATCCACA